TCCCCTTCTTACTGTTCTGTCTGCTCATATTGGCAAAAATCAAGTGAATTTTGGGCAAGAAATGTAATATTGTCTTGAGGTATATCACCCATCGTTCAATAATGGTCAAGTAGCCAACTCCCTTCCACTACTTGACCACTTGACTGAGAGTATTCGCCCGGAATAACGGGGATTCCGGACTATCGATATTTCTCTGTATACGGAATGCGTACTTATCTGTCTGTCTACAACTCTGTCTGTCATCACAGACCTAATATTATTATTGTTATATGGCAGTAAATTTTATTGTTTAACAATCATTTTAACTGTATTACATTGGTTTGGTTGAGATTCAGTAAACGCTCATGGCATTGTATTTAGGCAGTGATTAGTCGGTAATGTAGTGGCATTTAATCTAAGCAGTCGTTAGGAAGTTACAATATTTAGATACGAGTGTGGTGTGTTGACCGCGTACAAGATTATTGCACTTATATAGCGACGTGAATGCGTGTGTGTGTGTGTGTGTGCGTGCGTGCGTGCGTGCGTGTTTGTGCGTGCGTGCGTGCGTGCGTGCGTGCGTGCGTGCGTGCGTGCGTGTGAGTGTGTGTGCTTGTGCTAGTCCAGAGTGATTCCGATTAACAGTGCTAGCCCACTGAGATACCATGCCGCAGTTTAATATGATCATGAATGCCCCACTCAGACACAGTATACTGACTGACCTCTAGACCACGGGGGCGGTTTCTGGTGTTCTTGAAGCGACTTGAACTGTATATAAGGGGACAGTAGCATGTTTACGCATCTCTCACATATTTGGTCTCTTGCTCACACGCATATTCATGTGAGGATCACTCATCGTCCCCGATTCCCTGCCTAGCCCACCGAAGAAGCTTGGCCACAGTCGCCGCTTGGTGAATATACATTATTGTCACTGACTTTTGCTATCACCACGTATGTTTGTGTTTGATACTGACCACTGCCATCGTATAATTTATTGCCATTTAATATTGTACTACCGCTCTATTGGTAATTGCCATTATAATTGCTGTGCAGTTTTGCTGATTTGTATATTTAGTGAATTTTGTAATAGATTTGTTGATTGTGTACCACTTGTTGGTTGTTTGTTGGTTTAACACATACTTTTCACGTACAGATTTCTGGATGAACATACTGTTTCAATTTGGGAATCGACACGTAACATTATCCATTAGTTGTTGTTGCTCACATCCACTGATGTACTGCAGTCGGAAATGCTAGAAAAATGCTTTTTGCCCGTGAAAAAGGGTTGGAGTTTTTGCCCAACTGTTGCTATTGAAATATCGAGTAACTACCGATCTAATTACCTGTGATTTGAAGTATTTCAGTCACAAGGTGTCCTATCGACAATTTTACAGGAGAAAAAGTCGAACGCAAACAAGTTCAGATCAAGTCCAACAAGGTCTGAGACGGCCCATAGAATGCTCGCGTGACTCCGTTATAATACTAATAATGTAGTTTTCATAAAACATCTAATCAACGAAAACAAGTCTTTTGGAGTAAATTATAGATGTGCATATTATAAAACAAATTATGCTGCATTTGTTTTGTCAACACTGCTACCACGACGGATGTTGCATTACATTTGCAAAGCCATAGTCATGACACACGACATGGAGTATGTGTTTGGAAATGTATACAAGTTCTTTAGACATGAGAGAGATAGAGGGAACCATTTATTAGTTTAGACAGGGTGTATTACCTAACTGCCCAAGTTCTGGGGCTTTCATACCATAAGCTCTACCGTATGATATTTAAAAACAGAGAAGGTAGGGGTCGTCTCAAAAACGAAACCGTGACGTAAAATTATATTATACAGCTTTGTACAGGGGCGATTAGACGTACCGTGTCTAAGTTTTATGCAGATGGTACCCCCTACTTGTAGTAGAATTCGTGAGGAAATTAAAGACAATTAATGTTTTCCCGGGCCATATTAATTAGTGCTCTTCACGAGATGGGATTTCGACATCGTGCACGTGGCGATGACCGTGCAGTTTCGAGAGGAAAATATTCCATCCTGTCTATGACGTCACATTAACTCCGCAGTATTGATGACATTCATACGCCACTCGAACATTGTGAGCTCAACCCTACTGAGTTTTTCCTGGCTTACTGTGCAAGACAGAACACAACATTCAAACTCATTCATGTCAAAGAGTTTATTAACGCAGCCTTTGTTAGAATCATACCAGAGTTATGGCGAATGGCTGAAGATCATGTTTTGAAATAGAACGTCAGTTCCGCCAAGATGACGGCGTAGATATCAACCTTATGGCACTAGTTATCATACCTTTGAGTGATAGTACAGATTCAGATTATAATCATTATAATTATCTGAGTCAATTGCCGGCTAAAGACATCATCTGCAGAACAACAAATACTTCTTGATTCATAAGCCCCAACCTTCCAATACTCATCCCGTTTCATAGCGTTTAACCATTCCATCATTTTCCCAAGCAAATATAATGCAGTACATACAATGTATCTTAATTGCTACCCCGTCATTGCACATCTCAATGAAGTACAATAACAGATATATATTGAGACCACCCCCAACTCTTTGGTGACATTTCGCCTCGGAACAGATGTTTGGGAATTACCTCATGATATAGGCCGTTTGGTACATGCATGACAACAGACGAATAGTTTCTAAGTCTATCATCATTTTACCTTTAAAAGTACCTTTAACGGCTGTTCCCAGTGTTAGTTGGGATAGGCTAGATTAGATCGATTGGCGTTATTTTATATATGCTATTTCCATTGCCCCGTGATTCGTATTTTAATGAAGCAAGATAAAGATTTCTAGCAATTCCGCAGTACTTTAACATGTCAACACGGCCTAGCTTTCAGGTTCATTCTTAACACAATCCTTGTGCAGATGATGGAAAGGGATAAGAGTATTTGCTGATCAATGCTGTTAAAATACTAAATGACGCTTCGTGTGGTTTATCCATGTAATGCCTTGCTGAAATCAGACTTCAGAGAGCACTGTCAAAACTGTTATTGCATGAAAATAAATGTGTTTATCTAACACTTCCCAATCAGTAAACGTTTCCAAAACGTCTGTGTAGACACAGTGGATGGTATTTACACCCATTGCTACCATTTAAACAGAGGCTCCACAGAGAAAAGCCACATGCGATAAAATGGTTTTCAATTTGATATGTCAAAAATCATATATTAGAACCTATGAAATCAGCCAGGGTTCCTAATCAGAACCACACAAAGCACGAGAGGAAATTAAATGCGCCTCTATGATATTAGAACGTATTCTAAAATATGTTTGTGTTCACGTTGTTTTGCCTTTATCTTGTAATCCACATCTCGGGTGCTCATTAGAAGGACCTGGTCAGCCTCCAGACGAATCTTCTACATGACTATCAACCACACATCAGCCCAATCAATGAATCCTCTGATACAATGTCCATGTCAGTGCATGCCTCCTTGTCCAAGTTTGTAAACCTTGACGTGGCCAGTGAAGGTGAGATGAGGTGAAATTGGGTTTAACGTCGCATCCAAGATTATTGCACTTACATATCGACGTGCATCCACGTTTGTGTGTTTGAGTGTGTGTGGCTGCTTGTACTAGTCCGGACTGATGCCGATTTATAGTACCAGCCTACCGAGATATCATGCCGCAGTTTAACATGAATACCCCACTCAGACACAGTAAACTGACTCCGAGCCGACCAGTCCTTGTTTTAGCCCCTTAATGTCGAGCGCCAGACAGGGTAACAACAAGTACCATCTTTAAACCTTTTTTTTTGTATGACGCGGACGCTCTACCACTACACCATAGAGGCGGTCTTGCCAGTGAAAGACTGATGACATGGCTGGATCTAGTCGTCTCGTGGTTGACGGCAGGTTGACGTGGAACAGCCAGAAGTACCAGAACGTAAGAACACTTAACGTACCAAGGGCTAAAGTGTGGATTCCTGATCTTCGCGTCTTCAACACGCACAACAGGGAGATCACAGTTGACGATGCTGATCACATATTGCAGGTACGGTACAATCCTTTGACAAAGTAGACACAATTTTTGGATAACAACTTTATTTACTGTAAAGGCGACGTTTCGGTATTGATTCATATACCATTGTCTGGCAAGGCTGGAGTATATATAGAGTAGGCGGAGGATTTACAGTAAATAGGCTTTACGGTAAATAAAGAAGTTGTACGTCGCCTTTACAGTATATAAAGAAATTGCTATCCATAAATTGTGTCTACTTTGTCATCCGACAACTTCTAAGTAATGCCTTTTAAACAATTGGTACAATCCTCTGCCATGAAGGTCAATCTCAGAATTCGAATTTCGTTATCACATACTAGATTTAATCATGGTTATAGTGACGCCATTAACTTAACATGCATTGTATGTGGCATGGGTGTCCCAGTCGTCTGAGGACCCGCCTTTGGCCGTGCAGAGTCGCGGGACATAGGAGTGACAGAAAATTATCAATGACAAATCCACACTGATAATGATTCAAGGTTTTTGTCAACCATACCCGTGCATCTGGGTTTCACCAATGCCTACATAACTAAAATATTGTTCAAAATGGCTTACCTATACTCCAACAGTCATACCAAATGGTAGACAGGTATCTGACGAACCTGACACCTGATAAAATAAAGAGTAATTTAGTACCCGTTGCTCACAATGAAATGTATCGACGCACTGGAGTTAATAACTTATTAACGTGTCAGTAGATTGCAAAAACATATTGACTTAGCGGCCGCCTCCGTGGTCGAGTCGTAGGGCTTCGCCGGGAGAGCGGAAGGTCCGGGGTTCGATCCCCGGCAGCATCATTCCAAAAGAAGTTTAAAGATCGTACTTGTTGTTACCCTGTCTGGCGCCCGTCATTAAGGGGCTAAAACAAGGAGGGACCAGCTCGGAGTCAGTATACTGTGTCTGAGTGAGGTATTTATGTTAAACTGTGGCATGGTATCTCAAAATCGGCATCAGTCCGGACTAGTACATGCAGACACACACACACACACACACACACACACACACACACACACACACACACACACACAGATTCATAACTTCCCCGTTTCAGGGCATGACTGCAGTGCTCGGATATCTCACTGGTCGACTGTGATCGTGTGAGCCTGGAGTTATTTCCCCTTGACTGTCCAGCACAAGAGGCAGTTCCTGGGCTTTCATCAGCTTGATCATGAACACGATGGCCAGAGCTGTTGCTTTTAAATGATCACCACCTGAAACATGTGCCATCAGTATTTGTAACACTAATTAATTTCACATGTAGTTACATCTGTGAACAGTGGAAAATTATTTTGCTATGGTGAGAAATGAGTTGATGTTCAAGTGATGTTGTGTGAAATACGTATGTTTTAATATAATTGTAAGAACATGTCTATTCGTCAATATCACGTTCCAATACATGTGCTACCTGGGCCCACTTGCACAAAGCGATCTTAGCGCTAAGATGATCGTAACTCTCGAACTTTAACTTGGGCTTATAATAGTCGTTGTGCTAAGATTGCTTTGTGCAAGTGGGCCCTGGTTATCTTGTAAATTAGAGATCTGTTACATGTAAACGACTTGATTACTGTATTTCACTATGCTCTTGTACTCTCACTTATGTATTTACGAAAAAAGGCCTGTTGATATTTCATATCAATTTCCCTTTGAACTAAAGTTGTATTAGTACAAAACTTGGTATTCGCGTCCACGACCGGTACATCCTGACATGGTCAAGGGACGCAACTCGACTAAGTGAATGGCGACACCTCAGTTTACAGAAACTGATAACATAACCAAACCATGACATCATACATCGTCAGTTCTCCACCGTTTTGTACACACAACGATCCTCAATCACCGGAGTTGAGGTATTATTGCACTTATCCAGCGACGCGCATGGACGTGTGTGTATGTAAGTGGCTGCTTGCACTAGTCCGGACTGATGCTGATTTTATAATGCAAGCTCAATGAGACACCTAGCAGTTTTACTTGAATACCCCACTCACTATATACTGACTAGGAGCCGACCAGTCCTTGTTTTAGCCCCTTAATGTAATGCCGAGCGCCAGACAGGGTAACTGTCATGACGCGGCCGTGGATCGAAACCGTGGCGGACGCTCTACCACTAGACCACGGTGGCGGTTCTCAATCACATGAAAGAAAGGACAGATATCGTATAAATGACAGTGAAGTATTGACGATGTTAAGCTGGAACTATATGATTTGTAAAGTCACCTGTCTTCTCCTCGATCGGAGGTGTGTCTCTTTCCTCCCCATTAACCGGAGGGGTATCCGAGGCAGCCAGACGGATAGCAAACACTATGGCCAGAGTGACAGCCTTGAAATGAGAACCTAAAACAAAGAAAGAAACTAGTGAGTGAGTGAGTGAGTGAGTGAGTGAGTGAGTTGGCCCCAAATTATTTTACTTATATCTCAGCGTGACAGCGTAATGTAAGAGGAAGATCTAAAGAGACGCATTTACAACTCAAATGATAATAATAATAATAATAATAATAATAATTATTATAATTATGATAATTATGATAATTATAATAATAATAATGGACCATTTATATTGCGCATATTTCCACACCACACAGGGGCATGCTCAAAGCGCTACTATAACCCCGGTCACTGGATCAGTGTGCACCCAACCATCATTCTCAGCTCCCTGGGAAGTATACAACTCAAGCGGCCTGTTAGGTGCTGGAAGGTTAACAACCACATTGCCATCTCATCCTACCGGGTACCCATTCACCGATGAGGATCCTGCATGAGGAGACACCACATGTGGTACATGTGCTTCAGTGTGGGGCAGGACCGATGCCATGGAAACTCTCAGGAGCCAAACTGCCGAAACGCGGTCACCCATCAAACTACTCTCCGCGACCGACGCTGCTCAACTTCACCTGATTTGTGATCTGTGCGCTGGGAAAGCTAAGGTTTATAAGCGGAACGTGCATGGGATTCGAATCCACTACCAGCTAAGGGATGCAACTCTGCCCAGTAAATTAGCGACGCCTTAGACTGCATTATTATCCAGAAGAGAATTTTAACCACAGGTATCTGTGGTTCAAGATGTACACTTTTTTTTCCTCTGAAAGAAGCTGAGCAATTTTTTGGGACCCACAAAAAATATTAAATCATCCATCCTGTCCAGTGAAAGATATGTTGTTGTTTGCAAAGCCCGAGTGTAGGTTTTTTTCATCATCTTTTTTAACAGATTTAATTTTTGAAAATAATCACAACATTCTGTATGTCAAGCGGACGGCTCGAAATGCAGGTTGTGTTGACAAAATTACCATCGTGGAGAGCATTTGTCTACAATGTTAATGCCATATATGTCTAATACATGGCACGAGGCTTTGTGAAGTTCCATATTCGATTTGAGGAGAATGTGTGTATTCATCTGGGGAAATTGTGGATGATGGGATAACGAGTATGACGCGAGGTCAGAGTAACGGTTGGCACCCGTTGAAGCAGCGACTCCCAGGACAGCATGTCAGAGCGTATGTTCATAACCCACATTCAAGTAGGGCACGGAAAAAGCATTAAAACTCTTTCAGTAGACTGAAGGGAAATTATAATGTAGGACATTTATAGTGTATGTTTGTTGTAAAAGCCAGCTTTATACAGCAGCATACACACTGGGAACCTTGCCTTACATGGTGGACAGGACCATTTATTGTTTTGTTTGTTTGATTGTTTATTTGTTTGTGTGTTTAACACCGTATGCACTAAGCAATATTCCAGCTATATGTTGTAAATAATATGGGTCAGACAATCCAGTGGTTGACGTAATGAGCATCTGCATTTGGGATATGATGAGTGAGTGAGTATGGTTTTACGCCGCTTTTAGCAATATTCCAGCAATATCACGGCGGGGGACACCAGAAATGGGCTTCACACATTGTACCCTTATCGGGAATCGAACCCGAGTCTTCGGCGTGACGAGCGAAGGCTTTAACCACTAGGCTACCCGCCCGCCCGTGGGATATGATGACATCAACCAAGTCATTGGGCCTAACCACCCGATCATGTTAGTCGATTCTTCCGACAAGCATTGGTTGCTGAAGATCACGTTTAACCCAGATCTTCACGGGAATAACAATGATACATGTATCTCTATTGTATAGGAGACAAATAAAAACATAAAACGTCATCCCCGTAGCGACCAGGCATCAAATAGTAGACATCACGAGCAATTTGGATGTATATATGCTGTCGCGGGACGTTAATCTAAATTGCTATTGAAGCGATTTTTTATGCCGACTCGCTACTTAGAATTTTGTGGATTTGTATCCATCCCTGCAATGTGACTTCTGCATCCCTAAAGTGCACATACCTTTATGCTGGTCCAGGGGATCTTCAAGTCTCCCCTCCTCGGCAGATGTCCTGATGCTCTCAATGGAATCTAGACTGCACCAAGTCGACAGAGCTTCTGACAAGTCTTCAGGAAGGGTTCCCTCAAGGTGATGCCTTGCGTCCGTGTCTCGACTATGTGATGTCTTGTCCCCTGTAGAATATGTGCGACTGTTTTCTAATACGGCAACCCTCTGTTCTAATCCATCAAGCTGGGCCCTCAACTCCTGCAGCTGACGTGAGTTATGTGGGCTGTCTTCCTTGGGGCTTATTTGGGCTCGCCGTGGTTCATTTGGCGTCACGTCTCTCGCCATTGTAGACATTTTCTCCATAAGGGCGTTCATCGAAGTCGCTATGCGTTTCTGATTGTCTACGACGAGTTTAATGAGTTCAATAACTTCAGTATCATTTGCCCTTTCCATTGTATCCAGTACTGAGAATACCTCAACATGAGATATCTGAAATAAATTTAAAAAACTTCACCTTTCGAGAATGTGTACGATTTCTCCTGTTTTCATGATCCATTTTTATATGCAAATACTGTGAAACACCGGACAGTAATGCTCTCCCAGAACTCGCCCCGACTGACACATTTCGGAGTAAACGAATCCTTACAAATTATCTCTGAAAAAAAAGTTGCACAAGAGGCTTGGCATATCCGCTGGTTTCAATAAACAAGGGTAAAATCTGGATTTGGATAAAACACGACTGTTGCCTCTGTACATCACATGTTTAACAGAAACAGTTGGAGTTGCTTTATAAGTTCTATATGTGCGAAGCTTATCACCATTTAGTTTACCTGTATCATTCCAGAACGGAATATGCCAATTTTCAACATCGCTGTTTATTAAAAATTGTTTCCCACAATTAACACAACATTTTGCTCCCCAAACATTTACAATTAACAGTTCCTCATTAAACTTGGATAAGATACTTAAAACACTGCAGTTTAAAGATCCCCTGTTAAGTTCAGAACATTAATGAATTTTGAATAGGAATGCGTGTAGGTCACATGAATTTAAGACGAAAGAGATATCTAAAACACTATGTTTTCAGACTGACATTAACAGAACACCATCCCATATCTCACCTAATTGCAATGCTTTGGGAATCCTTGCCTACTCCAAGAAACATCCTACAGTCCTTATTCTTCTCTGTACTTATTTGGGGCGGTCGGGTAGCCTAGTGGTTAAAGCGTTCGCTCGTCACGCCGAAGACCCGGGTTCGATTCCCGATATGGGTACAATGTGTGAAGCCCATTTCTGGTGTCCCCCGCCGTGATATTGCTGGAATATTGCTAAAAGCGGCGGAAAACCAAACTCACTCACTCACTCACTGTACTTATTTACCCCCGAAATGCTGGCACCATACAGTAATATAGGCTCAATAAGAGACATATACAAATGACATCCCTCCTGCATAAATAAACTATGTACCTGCTGATTTACACAGTTCCTTAACTGGTGCATGCATATTCACGTGTTCATTAAAACACAGTCCCAAGCAATGGGAAACACTGTAATAAGCAATCGGAATGTCACCACACTGAAATATTTTTGTTTGTTGTTAAACGCCGTACTCATCAATATTCCAACTATATGACGGCGGTCTGGAATATAATCGAGTCTGGACCAGACTATCCAGTGATTGACATCATGAGCATCGTACCACGCAATTGGGATACGATGACATGCGTCAACCAAGTTACCCCCCGATCCCGTTACTCGCCTCTTACGAAAGGCATGGGCGGCTGAAGACCAATCCTAACCCGGATTTTAACGCTTCCCCACACTGAAAACTATAGCAGGATTTCTTCCTAAAAAGAAAAACGTTGGTTTTGTCATCATTAACCTTTAGACGCCATTTATACATCAAATGCTTAAATCATTTGTCATACAATGGAGGACGTTTCATCGGGGTCTAAAAAGCTTTATCATCAGCATTTAACAAACTAGACAGCATCTCTTCATCAATAGTTATACAACACTTTAAATTATTTATCACAATTACAACATCGTTGATGTACACTGAAAAATGTGCTGGTGAGAATTAGCAGCCTTGTCTCACGCCTTGTGATACTGGAAACGAATCAGTTGTACATCAATCATTTAGTCGGACAGCACAATCCACATTTTGATATAATGCTTGAACAGCGTTAAGCATTTTGCCACACACTGCAATAGACATGAGTTTTAGCCATAGGTGATCTCGATCAACAGTGTCAAAATCTTTCATAACATCAACAAAACATACATAATTATATGTAGAGAATCCGGTGTAGAGAGTGGTAGAGCTTCCGCCCGGAGAGCGGAAGGTCCGTGATTCGATCCCCGGCCGCGTCATACCAAAAGACGTTAAAAGATGGTACTTGTTGTTACCCTGTCTGGCGCTCAGCATTGAGGCGCTAAAAAAATCTGGTCGGCTCGGAATCAGTATACTGTGTCTGAGTGGGGTATTCGTGTTAAACTGCGGCATGGTATCTCAGTGCGCTAGCACTAGCACTAGCACTAGCACTATAAATCGGCATCAGTCTGGACACGTACAAGAAGCCACACACACAAACACACGTGCATGCACGTCGCTATATAAGTGCAATAATGTTGGAAGAGACGTTAAACCCCATTTCGCCTCACCTAAAAGATGGCGGGCTAAAAGATAAAACCATTGTTCTACGGTGTTGGCTTGAGTCCATCACCCCACTGAGATGGCGACATGGGATAATACAAACAGTAACTTACTATTCGATGAAGTAACTTTATGCAATGACTTTTCTGTAAAGCTTCTACTGGTATACCATCTACACAGGCAGGCTTGCCCTTCTTGGTCCGCAACACAGGCTGTTCCGACGCCCTCAGACTCACCGGAGCGTTTTTACACTTGAACCTGCATGTGCCCCCACTGTACCGTTACACACGCGTCCACACACACACTGTTATAGTGCTGCCTGTCGAACCGTCAGTCCCGTTATACAACGTGCTGTACGAGGCTCGCCAGTGTCCTAGCACAATGTCATTGTCACTTGTCACAGTTCCGTCATGTCCCGAAACATACAGGGTATAGTGTTAAAAGAAGTACTGTTGTTCGTTCTGTTGTTCTAGCTGATACGCCCTCTTTGCTGTCCTATTTGTTTTATCAAAGGATTTCCGTTCATTCATGAATGCCGCTGTGAGGAAACGTTAAACACTTATACTTTCTCTACATGTCTCCTGTGAAAGAATGTACATAGTGCAGCAGAATAGGTATTAGGACAGGCTCCGCCCTACGCTAGATGTTGGACAACAACATGCACTGTAATAGTGTAGACGTTTACAGTTTTACAATGTAGACAATATTACAGTGCAGTCAATGTCAAAGTATAGACAATGTTCCAGTGCAGACAATGTTATGGTGTAGACAATGTTATTGTGTAGACAATGCTATGGTGTAGACAATGTTACAGTGTAGACAATGTTACAGTGTAGACAATGTTATAGTGGAGATGTGTTACAGTGTTAACAATGTTATATTGTAAACGATGTTACAGTGTAGATAATAGTATAGTGGAGACAATGTTATAGTGGAGACAATGTTACAGTGTAGACAATGTTATAGAGGAGACAATTTTATAGTGGAGACATCAAGCAATGTTGGTCGTGGAGATTACATGGATGGCATCTGGGGCTTATGTCGTGCCCAACACTGAAACACATGTGGTGTTGCTGTAGGCAAGTGATTATATACCTCTGCTGACCCAGCAGTGAAGGAAGGGGGAGATAGTAATACGATTGTCAACTTTTAAGCACCAGTCAGACAGCTTGGGTGGTAAACAGAGAATGTGCATACATAATGATGTGTACACGTAATAATGTCGTCGTCATAATCATCGTCATCATCATCATCATCATCATCATCATCATTTAAAACGTCGTCGTCATCGTCATCATCATCACGATACGGGAAATGTTCTGACAACACAAAGGCCGCTTCACTGTGTGACACTAAACGTTTGTTTGTTTCTTTGCCAAATGCCGTTAGTCGCCTCTAACGACAAGCAGGGGGTGCGGAAGACGAATTTTCACTCGCATATTCGCGGAGTTTGAAGTGTTTGACGCAGTAGCACAATCACCATATGCATTTCAGTAACGCTACATATGTAGTTATGGCCAACATACTGCCGTACCTTGTGTGCACGTGTGTCTGATTTACACATAAATATTTCAAGTAAAGAACCTGCTGTCGTGAACTATTTCAGGCTACTACCTTAACACATGCGTAGGCGTACATGAAGTTGGCGTTGACGAGTATGGTAACATATAGACTACAATATAAGTATCAGACCCACACAGTGACCGGTCAACATACCAATGTCTCCAGCGTACTTCCCGAGAGCTGATAGTCCACCAGATTCGGTTTAAAGTCAACGAATCGCAAACAAATGTTGAGCTGTAACCTTGACCGACTTGAGTCACGGATTGCGTCCAACCGTGAAGTAGGCCTTATTGAATTTCACGTAACACATGTTAGCTAAATATAACGTATTATGTTTTAGGTATTATTGACCACTGTGACGACAGTTTCCACGTTGTTGTAGACACTGTCCCAGTGTTGAGGTGTACCCCGTGTTATGGTGGTGTGTCCCTGGTATGGTAGGTACATTCTCAGACAAGAACCAGAGCTCGCGCGTCCACATTATTTCAGTGTACAGTAAACTACGGTTATAACGAAATCGAAGGGTCCACTTATTTAGTTCGTAATAGCCGAAGTTCGTTATAAGCATATATACAGCATTTATACAACAAATGGTCGGGACTAAAAAATAGGTTCGTTATATCAGTTAGTTCGTTATAAGCGTGTTCGTTATAAACGTAGTTTACTGTATTGGTGAGGTGAGGTGAAATTGGGTTTAACGTCGCGACCAAGATTATTGCACTTATATAGCGACGTGCATGCACGTGTATGTGTGTGTGTGGCTGCTTGTACTAGTCCGGACTGATGCCGATTTATAGTGCTAGTTCACTGTGATACCATGCAGCAGTTTAACATGAATACCCCACTTAGACACAGCATACTGACTCCGAGCCGACCAGTCCTTTATTTTAGCCCCTTATGCCGAGCGCCAGACAGGGTAACAACAAGTACAATCTTTTAACGTCTTTTTGTATGACGCGGCCCGGGATCGAACCCTGGACCTTCCGCTCTCCGGGCGGACGCTCTACCACAAGACCACGGAGGCGGTCAACTGTATTGGTAATTGTGTGAGTGGCATGGCCAAACAAACTTACCCTTTTCAGGAAAATGAACACCTTGTGGCACTGATCCCTGATTTTCAGTGATATAATTTTATTTTGCCTTTTATACCCTATGGAATCTGTTTCAGTAGATATTCGACCATTGATGTTTTGATTTCCAGTCAAGACAGTGTTCCAGGATAGCCAGTGTTCCGGTATTGACAGTGTTCCAGTATAGACATTGTTCCAGTATAGACACGGTTCAAGTATAGACAGTGTTCCGGTATAGAGAGTGTTCCGGTATTGACAGTGTTCCAGTATAGACACGGTTCAAGTATAGACAGTGTTCCAGGATAGACAGTGTTCCAGTATAGACAGTGTTCCGGTATATACAGTGTTCCGGTATAGACAGTGTTCCGGTATAGACAGTGTTCCAGTATAGACAGTGTTCCGGTATAGACAGTGTTCCGGTATTGACAGTGTTCCAGTATAGATACGGTTCAAGTATAGACAGTGTTCCAGGATAGACAGTGTTCCGGTATAGACAGTGTTCCGGAATACACAGTGTTCCAGTATAGACAGTGTTCCAGTATAGACAGTGTTCCGGAATATACAGTGTTCCAGTATAGACAATTTCCCACTATAGACAGTGTCCTAGTTAGACTTGTATGAGTATTCTCGAGGGAGAAACGTACAAAACGAAACACCAGACCTCAACCTCCATCAAAAACCTTGCCACACCATTTAATTGTGATAGACGAATCTCTCGTTAATCAACATTGTTTGCACAAATTTGCCACAACACATGTTGGCACTATCGACTGCTGCTCATACATACAGCATGCACCTATTGATGTTGAAATTTGCAATTTTGCTATTTGGTGGTGTCAGAAGGTGCTGGGGTCATAGAAAGGAGAAAGACTAGGTTTATATTGACTGATCAGATGTCTCAAGTAAAGAAAGTAAGGGCAGGTTTTGTCGTAGATTTATGGACAAGAAACAGAATGTTTAAATTGTATCAGTTGTTTGACCGCAAGCCAGTGGGGGGTTTCGGGGACGGGTGATATGTGGTCTGTGAGGCGAGTACGAGTGACAACCCTAGCTGTTGTGTTTGGGATCTTTGCAGTTTTGCTAGTAAGGATGATAAAACGTTAAAGAATAGGGGGTTGAAGTCTTTGCACCACAAGTCCAGAATGTGTCGAAGTTTGCTGATGTTATGAGACGGAGAGGATGGAGCTGAGAAGGATGCTGTCAAACGAGTCTTCCAGTGTGTGTGTGTGTGTGTGTGTGTGTGTGTGTGTGTGTGTGTGTGTGTGTGTGTGTGTGTGTGCAGTGTGTGTGGCAGTGTGTGTGTGTGTGTGTGTGTGTGTGTGTGTGTGTGTGTGTGTGTGTGTGTGTGTGTGTGTGTGTGTGTGTGTGTGTGCATGTGTGTGTGTGGCAAGTGTGTGTGTGCAGTGTGTGTGTGTGTGCAGTGTGTGTGTGTGTGCAGTGTGTGTGTGTGTGTGTGTGTGTGTGCAGTGTGTGTGTGTGTGTGCAGTGTGTGTGTGTGTGCTGTGTGTGTGCAGTGTGTGTGTGTGTGTGCAGTGTGTGTGTGTGTGCAGTGTGTGTGTGTGTGTGTGCAGTGTGTGTGTGTGTGTGTGTGTGTGCAGTGTGTGTGTGTGTGTGTGTGCAGTGTGTGTGTGCTGTGTGTGTGTACAGTGTGTGTGTGTGTGTGTGTGTGTGTGTGTGTGTGTGTGTGTGTGTGTGTGTGTGTGTGTGTGTGTGTGTGTGCAGTGTGTGTATGTGTGTGTGTGTGCAGTGTGTGGCAGTGTGTGTGTGTGTGTGTCTGTGTGTGTCTGTGTGTGTGTGTGTGAGAGAGAGAGAGAGAGAGAGAGATTTGGAGAGGTGGACTTGTTGTGGGGTGGGGGTGGGGTTAGTACCTTGCTGACATACGTATTGTTGGTGTGAAGCAAACTATGACACAATGCGGGGTCTTGGTACTTGGTCCATTTAACGACGAACACGAACGATCTGAGCACCGCCAAAACAACAATTTGTGGCCAAGCTTCACATCCCGATCGCATCGATACGACAGTCGTGGCTATGTTAAGGTAGTGTTACCCATTACTAATGCTTGGACCACCCAATTCATCTCTCTCTACAGGACAAGCATCCGTATGGGACTCTCCTCATTCTGACATCTGTTGTGGACCTGCAGTGGGTCATTTCAGGAGAGGAGAGGAGTTTTATCCACTGCTACTGACGCCAGTGACTATTTGCTCTGTCTGCTGTAGTCGATGGCGCGCTGAAATGACTGCTGGGATCTGTACCTGGGGTCGTTGTCGGGGATGGATGCTACCGGTTCTAAGACGATTGGCTTTGATGAATGAATGGCTCTCTCAGCTTCCGTTTGGAACTTGCAGGTATTGCTGACGATGCTGTCTGAAGAATGCTTGATCTGGATGTATCAATGTTTTCTTAGCTGTTATACCAACACGATTGATATATCGATTGATACCCCGCTCAGACTCAATGTACTGACTTCAAGCCGACCAGTCCTTGTTTTATTCCTTTAATGCCGAGCGCCAGGAATGGAAACAACAATAACCCTTTTTGGTATGTCTTTTGGTATGCCGCGGCCGGAGATGGAACCACAGATCTTTCGCTCTCAGAGCAGAAGCTCCATCCTCGGGGGGGGTGGGGGGTGGGGGGTGGGGGTGGGGGTGGGGGGCAGGGGGGGGGGGGGGGGGTAAAATAGGGTTTAGCGTCGCGTTGATTATTGCACTGAAAGCGACGTGCACTCAAGGGTCTGTATGGCTGCTTGTATTAGTCCGGAATATCGACTTTATAGAGCCAGCCGCACCGCAGTGTAACATGGATACCCCACTAAGACAGAGTATACTAACATCGATCCGATCAGTAATGTTATCGCCAGACAGGGTAACAACAAATACCATCTTTAAACGTATTTTGGTATAACACGGCCGGAGATCGAACCTCGGACCTTTCTCTGTCCGGAAGGACGCTCTACCACTAGAACACGCAGGCGGTCTCAAACCACCAGACCATTGTGGCGGCCCATAAAGCAGCGATAAGGT